CGCACACACACACACACACACACACACACACACACACACACACACACACACACACACACACACACACACATCCAAATACGAACAATGCCACTGGCACGCACAGGCCAACTTCACGTCCCTGGAGGCCCTCATAGAGCGCATCCACAAGGACGGGTCAGAGGCCTCCGCCGCCCTGGCCCTGCCGCCGCTCAGCGCCCTCAAGGACGACCCCTTCCTGCAGCCGCCCCCGCCTGCGGACGCGCAGGCGGGTGCTGCTGCTGCGGCGGGGGCTGCTGCTGCTGTGACTGCATCGGGGGCCGCGGCGGTGGAGGAATAGGCCCTAGCGGCGGCTACAGGTGCTGCGGCTGCGCTTGAGCGAGAACATCCACTCGCCGGGCTTGAACCGTTATTGTTCGGTCATGTCTTGTTGAAAGACCCCCCTTCCCTGAAATTAATGAATCCCCATCTGCCCTGCTCGTGTACATCGTGCGGTCAAATGATGATCGGATGTCTCTGAGCCGTGCCGCGGCGCAACCACATCTGGGGTGGACCCCTTGTGGTGCAACCCCCTTCGAATATTTGCTTTCAGGTGTGGTGCAATTGCCAAGCTGGTGCACCTCAAGGCAATTACCAAAGGACGGCCCCGTTGTGAAACAAAGACAGCACCGCAAGTGCCTCTGAACGCGAGGGCCCGGCGCTGTGGGAGTGCAGTCCAGCGGTGACGGACGCGTGTTCTGCAGCACACGCCACGCGCTCGCCTTAGGGGGTGGCTGCGGCGGATGGGGGATGGGCGGAGGGCGATGGGCTCTCAATATGAAGTGACAAGGAAGTTCGAGGGCTACCGGCCGATCAGAGCCAAGTGGCCGGCGCCGCTGAATATTGGCAGGATCGGGGCACAGCCCGCGTCACACAGAAGACAAACAGGTGCTGCCCAATAGGCACGCTGAGGGCGCTCAGCCCGGGATGCCGCCAGTGTGTGGCGGCTCACCTCTCAAGGTGCTTTCCGTAGCGGGTGGCGGGCAAACGTGTGGGGCCGGGCAGACGGCATGCTGGAGGTTTCGTTGGACACAGCGGTGTGCAGCGGGAGGGGGGGGGTCCAACGGCTTGACTTTTACAACCGGGGCGGTTCAAATCACCAGCCCAAAAGCAGGACCATTGGAGGCCGCGCGCGACGATGGATTGTGGTGGGGAAGGTGTGGTGTTGGTGGTTGTAGGATGGATGCCAGCGCACTTGAGCTTAACAGGTCTTGGTGCTCTGTTTCAGAGTTGTTTGTCTGGGTTTGCGTCTAGGGGTTTGATGGGTGGAACACGCATGTGAGGAGCGAGCTCATATGCTGGAAGATGCAGTGCCAGGAGGGGCGGCCATGCACAAGCAGGGCGGCTGGGGCCGAGTGCAAAGGCTCAAACGTGAGGTCATACCTCATGTAGATCATACACCTATCAAAAGGGAAACAATCCACGCTGCGCCTAGGCAAGAAAAAAAGCCCATCGCTGCCGAGCTGGTGACATCAGCACCTCGACACCTTGCTCGCTGGCTCGCTGGCTCAGCGGCACCCGACAGCCCTCGCCGCTGCCCTGGCCTCCGCCAGCTGGCCCCCCTCGACACTGCGGGCCGGCAGCCGCTTGGCGGAGACCGGCAGCGCCGGCGGCAGGCGCGAGAGCTGGGAGACGGAGGCCGCGAGGTCGGCGTCTGCGGCAGGCTGGGTGGCAAACACGGCGTCCACCAGACCCATCGCCTCCGCCTTGGGCGCCGGCAGCGGCTCGTAGGTGAGCGCCAGCCGGCAGATCGCGGTGGCGGGCAGGCAGTGGCGAAGCGCACGTGAGAAGACGGCAGGCAGGCGGCCGCGGGAGAGCCCTGGCAGGCTGAAGGTGGAATCTGCGTGGGTGATGTCGTCATGAGTGCGGATGATGCAGGCGGTTCAGGCAGGCAGTCGACTCACATAGCTGCAGAACTCACCGTCACAACCGAGCAACGCCAGCGGCAGTGTGCTGCAAGGAACGACCAGGTTGCGAGGTCGGCAGCGCACGACGCGGCCGCTGGAAAAGCCAGCAGACCGGTCCTCACGCGGGCTCAGCCTGTCGCGCACCTGCAGTCGCAAAGACGACGTCCGCCAGGGGTGGCAGCAGCAGCCCGCCGCCCTCCGCGCGGCCAGCAACGAGACACAGCGTCGGCGCCTCGCGGGCCTCCAATGCAGCAGTCAGCTCGCCAAAGTCAGCTGCAAAAGCGGCCACCTCTGCGCCCGCAACTGCACCCGATGCGTCCGCTGCCAGCCCCTTGCCTCCTCTCACAGCCGCGTCCGCCGCAGCGCCTGCGGGGCAGGCGGGAGCGGGAATGGCGGCGGTGGACGCGGTGGCAGGGTCCCAGCCGAGGCAGAAGTCCTCCGGGCAGCCGCTGCGCAGCACGAGGGTTGCCCGCTTGTCAGCACGCACGGCAGCGAGCAGCGCGTGCACCGCGCGCGGGCCCAGCACAGGCGACGTCAGCCATATTGTCGCGATAGCACCTCCCGTACTGACCTCGACCCTGGGCCCGTCCCCCGGCGCGGCGGCGCAGCTGCAGGCGGGGCTCATGCAGGCCGCGCCGGCGCCGTGAGGGCCAAAGTGCGGCGGCTGGCGGGTAGCTCTTGGTCTTCAGCTGAGGCGAAGCCGTCGTCTGACGATCCCTCCCATGGCGCCTCTGCCCGCACAAAGCTCGAGCGGTGTCTGCCGTTCGGGGCAGCAGCAACGCCGCAGCTTTTGTCGGCGCCGGTGATGGTGGAGGGGCCGCTGTCGCCCTTGCAGCATGCGCCGTCCTTTGCATGCGGCGGTCCGGCCGCGTCGGCCAGCGCTGCGAGCCTTCCTGTGGCGCTGACGCCCGTCCCAGCAAAAGTGACTGTGCGAGCTGGCTGGTGCTGCTCCGGAGACTTCCTGCTAGCCAGGCTGCTGCGGCGCACACCGCCGCCAGCGCCGTTGACTGGGGTTGCCGCAGCTGCGTGCTTCTCTGCAGGCAGCACGGCCGCGGCGGTGATCAGGGCTGGCACCTGCACCAACGCCTTACTGGCGGCGGCGACGACGTGCTCAATGGTGCGAGCCCCGCTGCTCTTCGAGCTGTGGAAGGCCGCGGCGCCGCCGCCGGCGTTGACGGCGTGCAGCCATGGCATGCGCGGGAAGTCTGCCCCTGCCGGGCCACGCTGCAGGAGCGCTGCCCACCGCACCTCCGCGCCGCCCAGCCACAGCTGCGCCACCGCCTCAAACGCATCCCGCAGCTCAGAGCCCTTCTCGGTGCCCCGCACTAGCGCCAGCGCAGCCGCGCCCGGCAGCGAGGCGGCTGCGTAGCCACTCAGCACGGAGCGCGGGCCCAGCTCAATCACCGCTTCGCAGCGCGCGGCGCGCATCCCCGATAGCCCGGCCTCAAAGTCCACCGGCCGAAGCAGCTGCTGCCACCAGCGCTCAGCGGAGCGGCAGCCTGCCCCGTCAGGGCCGGACGCAGGGACACCGGCTGTGCAGAAGGCCGGTGCAGCGCGGCCAGTCGCGGCCGTCGCTGCCCCTGTCAGTGGCAGAGGGGCCTCCGGCTGGTCAGACCACCCCACCTGCTCCAATGCTCTGAAGAACGCCCCGCGGACTGCAGCAACGCTGGGCCCGTGGTGGAACGCGCGCGCCCCCGGCAGCGGCCGCGCGCGCAGCCCCGTGGCGCCCGCCGCGGCGGCGAACGCCCCCACGGCCACCGCTGCGCCCGAGACGGTGAACTGCCCTGGTGCGTTCACGGCGGCGATCGACGCGACCGCGCCTGCGGCGGCGCTCGCCTCAGCCAGGAGTTGCTCCACATCGGCCCGCGGCCCTGAGACGGCGGCCATGCCGCCGCTCGTTGGCAGCGCGGCCAAAGCCGCGGCGCGCGCATAGGTTAGCTGGCACAGCTGCTGCAGGTCTATCTCGCCGGCCGCCAGCGCCGCGAGCATCTCCCCCGCAGAGTGGCCCGCGGCGGCGGCGCAGCGCAGGCCCAGGGCGCTGAGAAGGCGCCACTGGGCGTAGCCAACCATCATCACTGCAGGCAGCGTCAGCCGTAGGTCCCCAGTCTCTGGCGGGGCGGCAAGGGCGGCCGCAACCGCCGGCGCAAATGGTAGCCCCGGCGAGGCGGCGGCCGCCGCCGGCGGGGGCCAGTCGCGCTCTGTCAGCAGCAGCGGCGGGCCGGGGTAGGCGGCGGCGAACTCGAGGGCGCCGGCACGGAAGGCGGGGAGGTGCGTCCACAGCTCTCCGCCCATCGCAGGGCTGTGGGTGCCCTGCCCACAAAACACGACGCCGACGCGGGGCGGGACGCCGCGCGCCGAGGCCGGGGCGAGCCCCGGCGCCGCGGTCACTTTGACCGGGCCGCCGCGCGCAGACGGAGCCGCTGGCAGCAGCAGGACTGCGCGGAAGCGCAGGCCGAGCGCCGCGGCGCGCTGGTGCGCGCGGGCCGCGGCGTCGACGTCGCCGCCGGCGGAGGCCAACTCGGCCCAGCGCTCTTGGTACGGCGCCAGCAGCGACCTGTCGTGGGCCGCAAGCGGTAGCGGCAGCAGCGGCGCGCGCGGCGGGGGCGGGCGGCGCGGCGAGAGCCCCACGCATGCGCCTGTGATGTCTGCGACGACCTCCAACTCCTCCCCTTCTTCTGGTGCGCGGACGATTGCGTAGGCATTGGCGCCCCCCATGCCTGCAGGGGCGTGCAGGCGCAAGCAGCGGCTGACTGAGGAGTTCGCCACGTAGCGGACAACATGCGGCGCGCTAGCTTTGAAGCGGCACGACAGGCATCAAAACGGCTCTGCGGATGAGGGCTCAGCAATCACTTTGATGTGCACGTCCGAGCGCGCAGGGTGCAATCCAAACCTCCTGAAACCATCCCGTCTTGTGTTGACTGCGTTTGACTTCTGGGTCTGATCACCCGCGCGATTGCTGCAGCCCAGCAGCACGCGCGCTGCCGCAACGCTCTGCGCCCGCCCACCGAAGCTGTTGATGCCAATAAAGGCGGGTCGCAACCCCATGCGCAAGCCCACCGAAGCTGTTGATGCCGATGAAGGCGGGCGACTCGGGCGGCAGCACCAGCGGCTCCACCTCCGTCACGACCCGCAGGTTGAGCGCCGCGGCGTCGATCTTGGGGCTCCACTTGCTGAAGGACCCCGAGGGCAGCAGCAGACGGTGGCGGGCCGTGATCAGCACCTTGACCAGGCCGGCCAGGCCCGCGGCGCTCTCCAGGTGGCCGAGGTTGCCCTGGGTTTCGGTGGATTGGGGACGGGTTAGGCCCTCAACCCGGCAGCACAGCCGTGATGCCATTTGGATGCGTGGTCGTGAGGTGCACTGCATGCGTGCACAGGCAGGCACGCATGCATGAAGGGGGAGAGAGGTGCATCTGCAAGTGGTGTGCACCAGTGGCGCCCAGGGCATTGCATGACTTGTAGCCCATGCTCAACCAGGCGCAACCATGCGGGTACATAGGCGCCGCAACTCTGGCGCACCTTGAGCGACCCGATGGGCAGCGGGATGGTGCGGCCGCTGCAGCCAAGGACGGCGCCGATGCTGGCCGCCTCTATGGGGTCACCTGGGGGTGCGGGAGCGAGACAGGAGGCTGCTAGTCAGCGGGCTGGGTGTGCGAGGGAGAAAATGGGGGTGGAGGACGATACAAAAATGGTTTGCTGGAGCCCCCGTTGCGGGAGAGGGTGTGTGGCTTACAAGAAGCAGCATGGTTGTTGCAGCGTCCCGTGGTTGCTTGTGGCATATGAGCGCCGCTCGGGCGCATGACGGCACGTGGATGTGTGGATTGCAGCAGCAGCAGCAGCAACAGCAGCAGCAGCAGCGGCAGCAATGGCAGCGGCAGCAGCAGCAGCAGCAGCAGCAGCAGCAGCGGCGGCAGCGGCAGCAGCAGCAGCGGCAGCAGCAGCAGCGGCGGCAGCGGCAGCAGCAGCAGCGGCAGCAGCAGCAGCGGCAGCAGCAGCGGCGGCAGCGGCAGCAGCAGCAGCGGCAGCAGCAGCAGCGGCAGCAGCAGCAGCGGCAGCGGCAGCGGCAGCG